CCTCCTGGGTTCAGATTATCCTTCCTCCTCAGCTTCCTGAGTAGCTGGGACTACAGGAGCATACCACCATGCCCGATTAATTTTTTGTGTGTTTTCTAGAGGTGGGGTTTCACCATATTGCCCAGGGTAGTCTCAAACTCCTGTGCTCAAGCGAACTGTCAGCTTCAGCCTCCCAACGTGCTGGGATTACAGGCATGAGCTACTATGCCCAACCTATCCTGTTCTTTTAATTGAAAGTTTATATGCTTCTAAGAGGTAGATACCAGAGTGTTGCTTTCTGAATTTTGCTTTTTAAGATGTCTATTGTATTTACCTATTAGTTTTTAAAGATTGCACTACTTGCCTGGGAAATATAGCAGACCTCGTTTCTACTAAAAATTTTTTAAAAAAGAAAATTAGTACTAGGTGTGGTAGCTCACACCTATAATCCCAGCACTTTGGGAGGTTGGGGTAGGTGGACTGCTTGAACCCAGGAGTTAGAGACCAGTCTGGGCAACATGATGTGAAACCCCATCTCTACAAAAAATTTTTTAAAAAATTAGCCAGGGATTGTGGCATGTACCTGTAGTCTCAGCTACTCTGGAGCCTGAGGTGGGAGGATTGCTTGAGCTCGGGAGGCAGAGGTTGCAGGTTACAGTGAGCAAAGATTGTGCCACTACACTCCAGCCTGGGAGACAGAGTGAGACTCTTGTTTCAAAAAGAAAAAGAAAGAAAATTATCCAGGTATGATCATATGCGCCTGTAGTTCTAGCTACTTAGGAGGCTGAAGTAGGAGGATGACTTGAGCTCATGAGCTTGAGGCTGCCAGTGAGCCTTGATTGCACCACTGCATTCCTGCTTGGGCAACAGATTGAGACTTTCATTCAATTAAAAAAAAAAAAAAAGGGCTACTTCTCCAATTCTAGAAATCTTAAGAAGGATCTTCAACATTTTAATACTAATATTCTGGCTATCGATGGCCTCAAATAAACGTTACTATAGAATTGGGGTTATTCAGCTGGGTGCGGTGGCTCACACCTAGAATCCCAGCACTTTGGGAGGCCAGGGCGGGTGGATCACGAGGTCAGGAGATCGAGACCATCCTGGCTAACACAGTGAAACCACGTCTCTACTAAAAATACAAAAAAATTAGCCGGGCATGGTGGCGGGCGCCTGTAGTCCCAGCTACTCGGGAGGCTGAGGCAGGAGAATGGCGTGAACCTGGGAGGCGGAGCTTGCAGTGAGTCGAGCTTGCGCCACTGCACTCCAGCCTGGGCGACAGAGTAAGACTCCGTCTCAAAAAAAAAAAGAAAAAAAACAAAACAAGAATTGGGGTTGTTCAATTTAGCATCTCTGATCTTTTCCATTGATTTTAATGAGATTTCTACTTGTTAATGTCTCTTTTATTGTGGTAAAATATGTAACATAAAATTTTTTAAATTTGCTATTAAATGGCCAGTTCAGTGGCATCAATTACATTTCCATTGTTGTGCAACCATCACCACTATCTAAAACTTTCATTATCTCAAACTGAACCTCTCTACTCATTCCACAATGACTCCACATTCCCCCTTCCCCCTTCCTGGCCATTGAGAAACTCATCTATTTTCTGTCTCAATGAATTTGCCTATTGTAGATATTTTAATCTAGAGTTGTACAATGTATGTCCTTTTGTGTCTTGCCTTGTGTGGTCACTGAAAACTTTGTACCTTAGCTTGTGTTTAGATAGAGATTTCCTTGGAAGCCAAGAGTGTTGGGATGAGGAAGTATGAGAGGAGAAAACTTTTCCTAGTGTTTGCAGATTGGTTTTATGCTAGGATTCTTCTTCAACTCTTAGCCATGCTTGCATTGCTTGGGATCAGCCCCAAATACAAGCTTAGGGTCTTCTCTGGTATTTTCTGAGCAAGAGTCTTATCTTGAGCATGTGTGTGGCTTTCTAAATTCCTCCTAATCTGTGGGTGCTTTTGACTACACTAATTTCCCAAAGAAATACTCTCTCCAGCTACTCCTAGGCTTTAGGCAGCCTCTTGTATGTCTCAACAGTAATCTTTTGCCCTGTGCACCTGCAGGTTGTTGGTCAGCCTTACAAAGTTTCAAGCAACACCCATATCTTTTGTAGCTTGTGTGAGGTTAAACAAAACAGAGCCATGCACTTTACATCAGTCCTTGGCTCCAGACAGGTTAGAACAGACATATACAATAGTTTGCAACTAATCTACTTAGCTCCATGAACGATCATGAGCCAGCGTCTCACACCGAGGATATAGGCTGCTGCTTTTGTGATTGTTGCCAACCTGGGGTAGGGGTGGGCAAGGACAAGTAAAGTCACCACAAAGCTTTCCTACTGCTTTTCAGTTGCATTTTTCTCGATTCAATATTTTCTTGATTACTGTAAACCTTTGACTATTTTACAGAATTCTAACAAAATTAGTTCTGACAAGTTTGCCTGTTTTTCAGTGTTTCTGTTAATGGATGGAAGCTTAGAGCTGTCTATTTTGCATTTTGCTGATGTCACTTCTCATTTTGGCTTTTAAGACATTAAAATATTTATGTCAAGGCATATAAGAATTAAGAGATGCTGAACAAAAGTGACTTCTGAATGAATTTATTTCAGAGTAATTTTCCAGAACTTACTGGTTGTTGTTTTCTCCCTATATTAGGCCTTCTCGTATCATGGATGTGTCATTACGTAGCTTCTCCCTTTGTTGTGACTTATTAAGTCAGGTTTGCCAGACAGCAGTGACTTACTGTAAGGATGCTCTAGAAAACCATCTTCATGTTATTGTTGGTACACTTATACCCCTTGTGGATGAGCAGGTGGAAGTTCAGAAACAGGTAATTTTCTGAATCATCTTCAGAATGGTATTTAAAATATATTTATAAAGTATTGTTAGAAGGATTTGAGTGTTTTTTGTTTACTTGGTATAATTGGTGAGTTTATTGAGAATTTTTTTGTAAAATGATTGGAACAATATGCTTAATGAATTAACTTTTGTAATCAATTACAGAGTACTTGGTACTTTTGATCTAATAAATAACCTGATAGTTTCATCTACTATGCTGAAGTATAGAGGTAGTCAAAACTAGAGATAGCAGTTCACAACATTATGGTGGTGTTCAAGTTACTACTTATATAAACTGTTTCATTAATACTGGCTTTTTTTTTTTAACCTCAGTACCCACCTTGTAGTAGTACCTTATATAGTTACTGAATTATTTGAAAACACGGAAACTAAAAACTGGGTATCTTACACGTAATTAGAACATTTAATCTGATCTAGGTTAATAGATTTTATCATTTATTACAGTAAGTTTTGTTGGCTTACTTTAAAATTATTTCTCTCATAATTTTTTCTTTTTAAATTATATTTAGGTATTGGACTTGTTGAAATACTTAGTGATAGATAACAAGGATAATGAAAACCTCTATCTCACGATTAAGCTTTTAGATCCTTTTCCTGACCATGTTGTTTTTAAGGATTTGCGTATTGCTCAGCAAAAAATCAAATACAGTAGAGGACCCTTTTCACTCTTGGAGGTAATAAAAATTTCATGATCTACTATTTTTTATTAAAGAACATAGACCGTAGTACTTTTTAAAAATCTGTAATGCTCTAGCAGTAAAAAATGGAATCTTTTTTTAAATTGTGATTAAAAATATACACGTAGGCCAGGCACATTGGCTCATGCCTAAGATCTCAGCACTTTTGGGAGGCTGAGGCAGGAGGATTGCCTGAGCCCAGGAGTTCAAGACCAGCCTGGGCAACATGACGAAACCCCGTCTCTATGAAAAATTAGTCGGGCATGGTGGTATGTGCTTGTAGAATCAGCTACTGAGGTAGCTCAGGTGGAAGGATCACCTGAGCCCTGGGGGTCAAGGCTGCAATAAGCCAAGATTGTGCCACTGCACTCCAGCCTGGGTGACAGAGTGAGACCCAGTCTCAAAAAAATACATATATATATCTATGTATATATATTCTTGATTACTGTATATATATTCATAGATATATATACATATATATACATAGATATATATACACATAGATATATATGTGTATATATGTATATACACACATACTTGTGTGTGTATGTGTGTGTAACATGAGATCTACCTACTTAACAAATAAAAAAATGAATCTTAATGTATCTCTTTGTGTTGAAGTCAAAGTATAAATATCAAAACTTCCTGGTAAAGATCCAAATTTAAGTTTTCAAGGAATGTGACATAAAATAGTTTTGATTTTAACACATAAGATCCTAAGGTCCACTAATAGCTCAAAACTACCATCGGATCTTTTCAATGTCAATTTAATGTTTGTGTAAGAGATAATGTTTAACTTTTGAAAGCATATTTCAAGTTTTAATCTTTATAAACCTCAAAGTTATGTTTAGGTATATTCTTCCATACAGATCTTAATTATAATTTTTAAATGATAGTCTGTATTTGAGTGTGTAAATATAAAAACATATTTAAATATGTTAAGACGTAGAGTTATACTACTAAAGAGAAATTTAAGCATTTCCCTCCAGTTGAGTATGCTATAACAATCTTGAAATCTGTGTTACCATGAGAGAGTCTATTAGAATTTAAAGGATTAGGCCGGGTGCAGTGGCTCACGCCTGTAATCCCAGCACTTTGGAAGGCTGAGGCGGGCAGATCATGTGAGGTCAGGAGTTCGAGACCAGCCTGGCCAACATGGCAAAACCCCGTCTCTACTAAAAATACAAAATTAGCTAGGCGTGGTGGCACATTCCTGTAAATGCCAGCTATTCGGCAGGCTGAGACATTAGAATCACTTGAACCCGGGAGGCGGAGGTAGCAGTGAGCCTCAGTAGTGCCACTGCACTCTAGCCTTGATGACAGAGCGAGACTCTGTCTAAAAGAAAGAATTAAAACATTGTAGGGTTTGCAGTGGAAGAAGTCATTTATTTCTTCCTTGTTTAGTAGTAATAGAGACATGAGTCAGTGTCTATAAATGGCACTTAACTAATTTTTTTCTTTTATTAAGTTTTATTTCACAGGCTTAACCAATACATGTTAAAAGCAAGTTACATTTTAATTAATTTTCTCTTTTAGGAAATTAACCATTTTCTCTCAGTAAGTGTTTATGATGCACTTCCATTGACAAGACTTGAAGGACTAAAGGATCTTCGAAGACAACTGGAACTACATAAAGATCAGATGATGGACATTATGAGAGCATCTCAGGGTACTAATTTTAATGACATGGGTTATTTCTACTTGTTTCTTTTTGAAAGAATATTTTGTAAAGTCTTGCTCTTGGTTTCACTGTCAGAGACTTAGTTCAGGCTCTCATCATTTAGTTTAGACCCTCATTTCTCATCTAACTGTAAAACTGGTCCTAACTGATCTCCTCACCCTGAACTCTTCCTATTTTATTCATCCTCTGCCATAACGATTTCTCTAAACCCAAATATGATCATGTTTTTCTACTGCCTAAATTTTTTTTTTGAGAGACAGAATTTTTTTTTTTTTTTTTTAAGAGTCTCACTCTGTCGCCCACGCTGGAGTGCAGTGGCACCATCGTAACTTACTGTGACGTTGAATTCCTGGGTTCAAGGAATTATCCTGTCTCAGCCTTCCGAATAACTGGGACTATAGGCGCACACCACTACACATAGCTACTTTTTAAAAAATTTTTTTTATTTTTTGTAGGGACAGGGGTCCCACTATGTTGCCTAGGTTGGTCTTGAATTCCTGGCCTCAAGCGATCCTCCTGCCTTAGCTTCACAAAGCATTGGGATTAGAGGCATGAGCCACGGCGTCTAGCCATGCTTAAACATTTTTAACTTCTTCTTTTTTTCTTTTAAGACAGAGTTTCGCTCTTGTTGCCCAGGCTGGAGTGCAGTGGCGCTATCTTGGCTCACTGCAACCTCCACCTCCCAAGCTCAGATTCTCGAGCCTCAGCCTCCCTAGTAGCTGGGATTACAGGCACCTGCCACTACGCCTGGCTAATTTTTTGTACTTTTTTTTAGTAGAGACAGGGTTTCACCATGTTGGCCAGGCTGGTCTCGAACTCCTGAGCTCAGGCGATCCACCCACCTCAGCCTCCCAAAGTGCTGGGATTACAGGCGTGAGCCATTGTGCCCGGCCCATGCTTAAACATTTTAACACCTTCTGACTATGTAAAAGAAAATTTTAATTCCTTAGAGCCAGACATACAAGCTAGTCTTGTCTTCTAGTCCAATTTACCTGAATGAAAGAAATATGTCTCATTTTAATACTTTAGCCATGTGTGTTATGTGTGTGTATATTTATGTATGTATGTATTTGTAAGTTTTTCTACCTTGCTTTTTACTTATGAAACATCTATTATTTATGTTAATTTGATTTGAAATGTGCATTATTACAGTATTTGGGAAACTTTCTATTTCTTTTTTTTTCTGAGACAGAGTGTCGCTCTGTCACCCAGGCTGGAGTGCAGTGACATGATCTCCGCTCACTGCAACCTCCACCTCCTGGGTTCAGATGATTCTCCTGCCCCAGCCTCCCGAGTAGCAGGGATTACAGTTGTGTGCCACCATGCCCAGCTGATTTTTTATATCTTTAGTAGAGACGGGGTTTCACATGTTGTCCAGGCTGGTCTCGAACTGCTGACCTCAGGTGATCCGCCCACCTCGGTCTCCCAAAGTTCTGGGATTACAGGCGTGAGCCACCACGCCCGGTCTAATTTTGTATTTCTCTTGTGTTGTTTTTACCCTCAGTACTTTTTAAAATGAATTTTAGTTTTGACTGAGCAGAGTTTCTAGTACTTTTGAGATGTATAAAATGTATGTAAATAGAAACACTGTTATTTCTTGTTCTTGTGTTCTTGAGTATTTTATGGGCTAGATCTACCTTGTGCATTACAGCCACTAGCCATTTGGCTATTTAAGTGAAGTAAAATTAAATGAAATTTGAAGTTCAGTTTTTTCATTGTATTGAACACATATGAAGTTCTCAGTAGTACATTTGGTCAGTAGTGATCATTGGACAGTGTAGATTATAGACATTTCCATCATTGCAGAAAGTTCTGTGGGACAGTGCTGGTCTAAACTCTAAATGTTAGATGTTAAAAAGCCAAGCAAGCTCCCAAAGTCCCTTCTAGCTTTAATGTTGAATGATTCTGGTGCTTCTGTTTGTGATTTTGCTAAAGTGTTGACTTATCTGCACAATTTGTTTAAGACATTTTATTTTCTCTGTTGTCAAATATTGCTAATCACTTTCAAAAGAATCTGTGGTATTAAGGAAGTTCAGATTCATTCCCTACGTATTTTTTGAGCTACTCATGACTTAAAACTTTCTTTAAACTTTATAGACATTTTCTAGTCAGATAATTTAATATATATGTTATTGTAAACAAAAGTGTTGTCTTTGTGCTAGTTGAAACTAATTTTTAAAAAACTATTTCTAGATAATCCACAAGATGGGATTATGGTGAAGCTAGTTGTCAATTTGTTGCAGTTATCCAAGATGGCAATAAACCACACTGGTGAAAAAGAAGTTCTAGGTAAACTACAGTCGTGTGCTGCATGACAACATTTTAGTCACCCGTGGATCACATATAGGATTATATTATAATGATTATAATACTGTATTTTTACTGTATGTTTTCTGTTTAGATATACAAATACTTACAGCTGTCTGTAGTATTCAGTATAGTAACATGCTATACAGGTTTGTAGCCTAGATGCAATAAGCTATACCATATAGCCTAGGTGTGTAGTAGGCTATACCATCTAGGTTTGTGTAAGTATATTCTGTGATGGTTGCACAATGACAGAATTGCCCAGTGACACATTTCTCAGAACATATCTGTGTCATTAAGCAAAGCATGATTGTATTGGCTGAATGTGAGTTATGTGGTGGTCATCTTTATTATATGAGTGGTCATCTTTACTATATCTTCAAAATAAGTGAGGGTTTGTCATTTGGGATATTGGGGAAATATGCTAGCTAAGTTACATGCCTATTTAATTAAAGTGTCCCTAAAAAGCCCCCTTTTGTACTTTTCTTCCTTAAATATTCATATAAAATGAAAAGTTAATAGATTTACATATGTATATAACTTAATTTGAAAATGCCTTGTAAATATTTAGGAAAGTCAGAAATACCTATTTTTAGAGTTCAGTTGCAAATAAATTGACTGCCAATATATTTTATAAATATAACTGACAGGTACTCAGTGTCTTTTGTTATGTAACAGACGTAAGAATGAAGACTTGGAGGGCTAGATTAAACTTAAATAATTAAAAACCATTCAAGTCCTTTCCTATAGCCATTTGAGGAGAAACCTAATGTAAGATAAGAAGCCAACATCATGTCTAGTTTAGGTGTTTAGATTTAGTGACCACGGGATGGAGAAATCACCTGATTAAAGTCAGCTTGAAGCTCTCATGATGGTTTTGCTTCAAATTAGAAAAATAGGAGGAATAAGTACTGTTTCACAGATTCTACTATCTTTCTTCAACAGTCTTAACTTCTCGGTAGGAGCCTAATATCTAGAGTACTTCCTTTTTTTTAGATTTTTTAAATTGAGATATATCCTACGTATAGAAAAGTATACAGATCAAAAATATCTAGCTTGAAGAACGTTCGCAGAGTACACTTGTACATGTGGCACCCAGACTAAGAAACAGAATCTTACCAGAACTGTAGAAGTTTTCTTTAACCAACGTATTTACCTCCTTGCCCATAGTGGCACTGCTTTTAGGGACAGACCTGATTTATAACTGAAGCCCTAAGTGGCTTTCCTGTGTGGCATAAAATTAATGTGGTTTGTACTCACAGCTTTCCCCCTAAGATCAGGAATGAGACAAGGCTGTCCACTTTCACTACTGCTGTTCAACATTGTACTGGAAGTTCTAGCCAGAGCAATTAAACAAGAAAAAGAAATTAATAGCATGCCAATTAGAAAGGAAGTAAAACTATCTGTATTTACAGATGATATGGTAGAGAAAATCCCAGATAATCCACAAGAAAGCTACTGTAGAACTAATAAATGAATTTAGCAAAGTTGCAGGGTACAAGATCAACACATAATTAGTGGTGTTTGTATATACTAGCAGTGGACAATCCAGAAAGAATTAGAAAAGCAATTCCATTTATGATAGCATCTAAAAGAAATAAATACCCAGGAATAAATTTAATCAAAGAGATGAAAGACTTATATACATTCTGTTTGTTAGAAGTGAATCACTAAGTACAGCCCACACTCAGCGGGAGGGAAATTAGGTTCTACCCTTTGAAAGAAGGACTCTCAAAAAATTTGTGAACTTATTTTAGTAAATACCATCATGATGGAAAGAGCACGAAGAGCCCTCTGGGTTGCTGAAAATGTCCTATCTTCATCTGGTTAGGGAGAACACAGGCAGAAAAAATGTATATTTGTATGTATAAATTTTCATTGAACTGTGTGTTTAAGATTATGGAATTCGTGTGATATCGCAACAAAAATTTTAACAGTTTTAAGGTTGATTGTCTCTTTTTTTTTTTTTCACCCAGGCTAGTGCAGTGGTGCAATCTCGACTCACTGCAGCCTCCGCCTCCTGGGTTCAAGTGATTCTCCTGCCTCAGCCTCCTGAGTAGCTGGGATTACAGGCCTGCACCACCATGCCTGGCTAATTTTGTATTTTTAGTAAAGATGGGGCTTTACCATGTTGGCCAGGCTGGTCTCGAACTCCTGACCTCAGGTGATCCACCCGCCTCTATCCCCCAAAGTGCTGGGATTAACAGGTGTGAGCCACCGCGCTCAGCCTTAAGGTTAATTCTTGAAGTACAGCAAAACAGCACTATAGTTTCGAAATTAGATTTCAGTTTTATGTATGATCTCTTACCTATGACTCTACTGAAATAGAATTTCTATATGTAGAGGCTGTTGGAAGCTGCTTGGGAGAAGTGGGTCCTATAGATTTCTCTACCATAGCTATACAACATAGTAAAGATGCATCTTATACCAAGGCCCTTAAGTTATTTGAAGGTAAAGAACTTCAGTGGACCTTCATAATGCTGACCTACCTGAATAACACACTGGTAGAAGATTGGTGAGTATTTATTGATACCTTATATGTAATCCCACTTAATATGATATTCATGGAGAATGATACTTCACACAAATTGATACTCTCAGTAACTAAAGCTTTGTCCTTTTTTTAATCTCAGTGTCTTTATGAAAATTCCTGTATTTTTATTAATTCACATAATTATTGACCCTACTATGTGCCAGACACTTGATATAATGGTGAACATTCCAGACAAGGTCCCTGTTAAAATTTTGGTGGGACTAGACAAACAATAAATAAGAAAAATGCCAGATGGTTCTACATAGAAAATTAAGATAGGGGAGTATAAAGGGAGATGTTTTAGGCTCTTGTCAATATCAGAGGTGCCACTCTCCTCTAAGTGAGGCCTTATTTTGATCCTTTTAAAATAAGCCATAAAGCAGAGAGGTTGTTTTATAACCCTAGAAGTCTTAAGCTAATCAGACAGGGTTTTCTATTGCTTATTTATTCTCTGTGCAAAACACAATTGCACCGCATATCAAAATTTCAACTGGTTGATTGAGATTACTTTTGTGTGCATGCTCTTTCTCTCTCTCATTTGTTGATGGATTGATTGGTGTCTGAGTATTCCATCACCACCATATTTGGTGGTAGGCTCAAAGGATTTTTCTCACAACCAGGCACCTTTCTAAGATAAAGACATGTTTTGATTTTTTTTCTGTACTTCCCTTTCTCCTTCTCTTGAGGAATAAATGATTGGCAATAATGTCTAACTGCCCTGTTTCCATTATTGATTTAATGTACCTATATATTTCTTTCTTTTGTTTTTGTTTCATTAAACAAATTTGTATGGTTTCTTTCCGAACATTTTATTATAAAAAGCTTTAAACATATAGCAAAATGGGAATAATTTTATAGTACACACCCATATGCTTATCACATAGTTTCTATATTTTACTGCTATCCTTGCTTAATCACTTCTAGCCATCAGTCTATCCTTGTATTAACATGTATTAATTCATCTCTCTCTTTTTTTCTTTTTTTTTTTTTGAGACAGGGTCTTGCTCTATCACCCAGACTGGAGTGCAGTGGCATGATAATACATCATAGATCATGCTTTACTGTAACCCCAAATTCTTGGGCTCAAGCAATTCTCCTGCCTCAACCTCCTAATATGCAAGGTTTATGTGCTTGAGCCACACCACACCCAGCCAGTTCATCTCATTTTTTAAATGTATTCAAAGGTATATCAAGCACAGTTTTTGAAGAGAGTGCCACAGAAAATTTGCAAGCATTAGATGTTTCATTCGTTTCATAGTAATTCAAAATTGGTTTTTCTGAAACAGATGCACAGAAATATTAGTGTGACTTAAACTTAAGAATACTAGGAAGCAGGTAGAAGTTTTTTGTATTTTTCTTTAACAGGGAAAAACTTTAGATATTCAAGGGACTTTAGCATATGAAGATGTGGACCAAAGGATTCCCAGAATTTTTATTACTTATATGTATTAGAACATATTTTCAAGTATTTCTTTTTGTGAGTCTTTTTAATATATAGTAGTCACAATTAAACTGTATTGAATGAAGGGAATTGCTGTTGCAATGGTTAGTAATTCAAGTTTACTGAATGACTAGTGGAAGTCCTTTGATAATTTTGTTTGATATTGGAGAATTTTGTGAATGTAAAGTTTCCTAATACAAATTTTAAATTTTAGTTTTGAAATTTTTTCAGTGGAGGTTAACATTCATCAAGATTAATAACTGGTGTACTTGATAGACATTTGAATTGTTTGTTTTTTCAGTGTCAAAGTTCGATCAGCAGCTGTTACTTGTTTGAAAAACATTTTAGCCACAAAGACTGGACATAGTTTCTGGGAGATTTATAAGATGACAACAGATCCAATGCTGGCCTATCTACAGCCTTTTAGAACATCGAGAAAAAAGGTCTCTTAAGTAATAAATGTTTATCGAATACCCACCATATCTAAAACAGTTCTGTTTGCTGTGGGTTGTGACTGTTAACTTGCTTGAAATAGTATTGTACTAACAATTAATCTTTCCTATAAGTAATTTAAACCATATTTCATAAATCCAGGGAATTTGCTATTTTTTATTTATCATGGCAGTGTGGAAAAGCTGAGATAGGTAACCTGAGGAAATAGTAGTTGATTTCAGGGGAGGGGAAATTCTTAAAGACAAACCTTATTTTTTTAGAAATAGAAAACCCTACTTTGCTCCCATGAAAGCTGTTAGCTCTGGGTATGATTTATAGTTATTGTGATCCACAAGTGTTTATTTCCATGGCAAGTTAATGTATCACAATCCCCTGGTGAAATACAGGATGACCCATAGATTTCTCCCTTTTTCCATGTTGGTATCATAATAGGGTTCCACTGTAAGTACTCTGTGAGGCATGTTTAAGAACACTTGTTCCTTCCTTAGTCTAAGCATTCCTCTTTACTATCTTCTTTTCATAAAGTGACTGAGAAATACACAGTTTAGTTTTCACCAATTTAATTTCAGGGCAGAAACCCAACATTGAAGCAGTACTTTCAATGCATCACAAATATAATTTTGGTCTTAGTAAAATTACTAGTAATATAAACTGTTAATGAAACTAATAATATAACCTGGAAGGCATTATAATTTTTACATTTTAAAATCTCATTTCATTTTGAAATCAAGTCTATGTGGTAGGTATGGTCTGGTTTTGTTCAAGAGACAGATGAGTCAGAGTTTGTGATTTGTGTAATATGCTGCTAATGAGTGACAGAGCTGAGAGTAGGACCCAGTTTTTCTGGTGCCTAAAGCAGCAGTTTTTACCATGCCACTCTGACTCTCGTATAAACATAAATGTTTTAATTTTAAAAGGTAAACATTGCCTCCAGATTTAGTTTTAACTGTATTTAGCTTTACTCAGAAACAGATTTGTTATACTCATTTTAGGTAGGAAAGGTACAGTGATTTCCAGTTCTCTTATTTACATTTTCTAATCCCTTTCTTTCTAGTTTTTAGAAGTACCCAGATTTGACAAAGAAAACCCTTTTGAAGGCCTGGATGATATAAATCTGTGGATTCCTCTGAGTGAAAATCATGACATTTGGATAAAGACACTGACTTGTGCTTTTTTGGACAGTGGAGGCACAAAATGTGAAATTCTTCAATTATTAAAGCCAATGTGTGAAGTAAGAAGATTAATTAGCCTGATTTAATTCCTTGTTTATGACCTGTTTATCTAAAGAGTTCTGTGATACTGCACATCATCTTCACATAATATCACCCCCACTCAAACTGTTGTACATTTATTAAAGTGAGCATCCGTATTTAGTCATAACTTTATGCATTAGGTTTCAGCTTCAGGATAGCAACATGCTAGAGGAGTTCTAAGGGGTGCCTTGAATAATTTGTTACTAATACTAATGATAGTTAAAATACTGCTGATTATAAATTATTTGCATTAACCAAAAGCCTGTTCTAACTTTGTTTACATCTTCTGATAAGAGCACATTTATTTTCCCTGATATGCTTTCTTGAATAAGAAAAAGGAGTAGGGCAGCAATCAGTGTAACTTTTTTATTTTTGAGGATATAGTATTTATCTTAATAAAGAGTGAGAGTGCATACCAAATGAAACGGAAGGTTTATACTCTTCCATCAAATGTGTAATCTAAAACAGCAAAACCTGATGCTCTAAGATTTCCAGAGTTAATTTATAGCACTGTCAAATGTGATTCAACAGAAATGTGAAAATAAAACATCTGACTAGGTTAAACATCTGCCAATTACAGATAACTGATAGGGAAGTATTTTCATAATATACTCAAATTGAAAGCAATGTAAAAAGCAGTTCTTATTTTCTACAGAAAAAGTAATGACAATGAATAAAACATCACCTTCTCTGCAATACTACACCGCACTCATACCAGTTCAGCAGAGTGGTACCCCGAACGCACATACAGCTTATTTCTCATTAGTGAACAAAGCTAAGATTTTTATAAAGTTTTAACTTTGAGCCAGAAGATAAAATGTTCCCAATATACGTATGTACACACCCTATTTCTGGTACTTTAAATTCTCTAGCTCTAAAAGTGGTGTTTTGCCTTGTCTTTGGTTTGAAAAAGAAAAAGGGTGCAATTAGTAATCTATAACCTGTCTTATGTGTGTTAAGTCTGATGAATATGATGGATATGGAGTGTAATGATTCATTCATATGTTAAACATGGAGTGCGGTGAATAGCAAAAGTAAAGCTGAATACCATTTTAATGTGCCAGATGTATTAGAGCACTTTTCTGCTCTTTGGAATATACCACAAATAATTACCCAAATTTTATACCCAGAAGTTGGGCTTATTAAAACATAAACATTTTTAACATGACTGTTTTAGTTCTTCACTGAGGATAGAAAATGCATAAAAATCAGATTTTCAACTTTTGTCTTAAACTTTTGATACCTTTTTCTCTCTTCTATCAAATCAGAAAACTTCTGTTACTAACACTTTTCAACTCTGAAACTGTATTTAAAGTGATGATATAATTTCATTTGTAAGCAGTAGTCTATTTCATTATGCTAATGGCCTAGACTGAAAACAAACAGTTACAATGTCACTAACATATACATTTGATATTGATATACTAGCCTAGTGTGGTTTTTTTAAACACCACCTAATACATGTTTTTTGTTTGTTTTTTTTTAGCAGTATGTTGAGTTTATGGCAGATTAATCTATCATCTTTTAGAAATTTAATATGTCAACAGGGCATGAAAATTTTAAGTAAAATGTATTAGTTTTACTCATCGTTACTCAAACTATTGGGTGGATTTGTTGGTATATTCTAGGTGAAAACTGACTTTTGTCAGACTGTACTTCCATACTTGATTCATGATATTTTGCTCCAAGATACAAATGAATCATGGAGAAATCTGCTTTCTACACATGTTCAGGGATTTTTCACCAGCTGTCTTCGACACTTCTCACAAACGAGCCGATCCACAACCCCTGCAAACTTGGATTCAGGTATTTTATTAAATTTTTAACATTAATACTGTAAACTTCTCAGTTCTAGAGAAAGATAGATTTAAGGTGGAATCCGGCTAAAAGCACTTTACAGGATTAAATCTGTAACCTCTAAATTTGTTTCTTTATCTGTGGAATGGAGATAAAAGTTGCAATAGTTGCAACAAGTTTTCAATGAAATAATGTGTGTAAAGTGCCTAGGATAATACTTGATGTATAGTATTCCCTCAGTACATTTTGGCTACTGATAATGGGTCAACTAATTGAGCTTTCAATATGTGTCAGGCACTGTGCTTGCACCAGCAATATTAATGTGAAAAAGAAACACCCACATTCTAGCAGTGGAAAAAACAAATAAACACAATCAGATATTTCAGGTACTCTGGTGCAGATATGATAGAATTTTCATGTTTTCAGAGCTCTGGCCAACTCAATTTAAAAAGCAACCTTTGTTTGGGCACAGTGGCTCAACGCCTGTAATCCCAGCACTTTGGGAGGCCAAGGTTGGTGGATCACTTGAGGTCAGGAGTTCAAGACCAACCTGGCCAACATGGTGAAACCCCGTCCCTGCTAAAAATACAAAAATTAGCTGGGCGTGGTGGCAGGCACCTGTAATTGCAGCTATTGGGAGACTGAGGCAGGAGAATCACTTGAACCCAGGAGGTAGAGGGTTGCAGTGAGCCAAGAGGATACCACTGCATTCCAGACTGAACAACACAGTGAGACTATCTAAAAAAAAAAAGAAAAAGAAAAAAAACCTTTGTATAACTATAATTAACATTTGGTATATATCCTTCTAATTTTTTTTTTTTTTTTGTTTGTTTTGAGACAAAGTCTCGCTCTGTCGCCCAGGCTGGAGTGCAGTGGCCGGATCTCAGCTCACTGCAAGCTCCGCCTCCCGGGTTCACACCATTCTCCTGCCTCAGCCTCCCGAGTAGCTGGGACTACAGGCGCCCGCCACCTTGTCCGGCTAGTTTTTTGTATTTTTTAGTAGAGACAGGGTTTCACTGTGTTAGCCAGGATGGTCTCGATCTCCTGACCTCGTGATCCGCCCGTCTCGGCCTCCCAAAGTGCTGGAATTACAGGCTTGAGCCACCGCGCCCGGCCTCCTTCTAATTTTTTTAAAACAAAAATTGAATTGCACTTTATTTACTCTTACAACCTACTTTCCTTCTGTGACATATAACGAGTATTTCTCATGCCAAGAGCATAGTAACAAAAGAAATTCCACCAGGGTTGGGTATGTATATTACATATATGCATACTTGAGGGCTCATTATGGGTCAGTTTTTAAAACCTAAATTTTATAAAAGGATACAAAATTCACAGATTATTAACTCTCTTTATTATATATTATTAATGTGTTTTATATGCAAACATAAAGCTAGGTACAAATTCACTTGTTGTACTTAAAGACCAATCAATTCTAATGTGAATGTTGATTTAATGTGGTATTTTGCCACAACTAGTTTGCTCCTCCCAATCCTTCCAGTCACTTCAGCAAAGGTTGTGATTACTCAGTTCTTCCAGTTGTTTCTTCTAGTTTTACTGCTACAACCTTCATTTGACATGACTCTAATGTCATTTAGACTTCAGTTTGCTATGCTTTATATTTTATGTATTTTCTTTTCTGTTGGCTAACAGCAATTACAAATCTACTATTTGGAAAAATATAGATTATAAACATAGACATAGATGCCCATCCTGTGATCCTACTGGATTATAAGCTGTTCTCTAAATGATCTAGAATGTGCTTATATGAATTTTCTTTAGGCTACTGAAATGAAAATCCTAAAATAAAAATTTTCATAGAGGCTTTGTAAACTATCTAAAAATGTATCTCTTATCTTTAATTGGGAATATACAGGTATAAGTGATTTAAGTGTTTAAAACTTTAATATGTAATTTACAGTACTATTAAAAACAATTTTTATTACATAGTTTAAGGTAATCATGGTTTATGATAATCTGGTAATTTGTTATCATGAACATGGCCAAGACTTTTTTCATGTTTATCAGTTACGTATTTATGCCACAGCCATTGGAAGGTAAAGTAATTATTTTATTATATCTGTGTACAGTGCCAATATTTTTATTACCTTAAGTGAAAATTTAAACTTCACATATAAAATTCTATTATTGAAAAGTAAAGTAAATGCATATTTTTATAAAATTTAAATGGTGTATCTTTTCTGATGGCTATAAGCCTCATTGCCTTCACTAAACGTCCCATGTGCATCTCAGACTCAACTGTCCAAAAGCAAATGTGTCATCTTCTTCATCTCTTCCCCCTGGTCTACTTTTTTAAATGTGTACCTCTTTGACAAATGGCACTCAGTTGCTTACTCTAGAAACCTCTCTCACGTATTTCATCTAATTACCAAACCTTGCCAATTCCATATTATGAATAACTTAGTCCATTTGTTTCTCTCTGCCCTTAGCATCCTTACTGCTTTCTAGCTCTATGACTTAGCACAGTTGAAATTCTTTCATTAAATTTTCCAAGTTATTTCTTGCTTCCAGCCATCTCAGATATTGTTATTATTGCCTGTAGCACTATCCTTTCCTGCTCTTGTGACTATTACTCTTCTTTCAGGTATCACTTTTTCTTTTTTTTTTTTCCTTGAGACAAGAGTCTCACTGTGTAACCCAGGCTGAAGTGCGGTGGTGTGATCTCGGCTCACTGCAACCTCTGCCCCTCAGGTTCAAGCAATTCTTGTGCCTCAGCCTCCTGAGTAGCTGGGATTACATATGTGTGCCAGCATGCCCTGCTAATTTTTGTATATTTAATAGAGATACGGTTTCACCATGTTAGCCAGGCTGGTCTCAAACTCTTGGCCTCAAGTGATCCACCCGCCTCGACCTCCCAAGGTGCTGGGATTACAGGCGTGAGCCATCGCACTTGGCCAGTATCACTTTTTCTATGAAACTTTTCTTGTCTAGGTGAGGTTCCCTCTGCTAAGGTTCTATAGCATTTTAAACTTTCCTATTATAACACTTAATCATATTGTGTTGTAATCTCCCAGGCTAGTCAGTGAGTTCTGTGTGGTCTGACATTGTATGTCTTGTTCATGGTTATATACTGAGGACCTGCCACATAAAAGATCTTATTGAATCAATCAATTAATTGGTCCTCCTCAGAAATAAAATATAAATTACAATGTAAGTTCTCACTTTTATTAAGATAACAGTTTCTTTTAAAAGCAAAAGAAATGCTGTTAAATTCCCTCAGAACCAATTTTGTGTTAGGTACTGCCCACTAGAACCTTATAGCATAGTGGGAGACAGACACATAAACAAGAAGGAAGAAAGTGTGTAAGCAAGAATGCCTGGGACTGAGGGGAGATATTTTTGTTTGTCAGAGTCAGAGCACTTTTTCCGATGCTGTTTGGATAAAAAATCACAAAGAACAATGCTTGGTGTTGTGGACTACATGAGAAGACAAAAGAGGTAATGTAATGAGTGTTGCTTCTTATGTTTAGGATCTAGAGTGTAACTTGTTAACTATTGGCTGAATTTTAACATGATTATTTTAGGTGAAGCTGTTGCAAAGTGCTATATTTAATTTGTGTGATATTTATATCTCCTTGCAGTAATCCATATTCAGGATAGCACTTCAGTTAAATCAGTGTCAAGAACTCTCAGTTCTAGTACCAGCTGTATCAGTAACAGTGTTACCTTTGTTAAATTATACAGCCTTCTTGGCTCCAATTTGTTTCATCTATGTTCGGGATAGGAGCAAGTGTTTTTCCAAGTTACATTTAGCTATATTATTACTGTTTTTACTTTTCTCTTTGCTTTAGTTCTAAGAACTAAATAGAGTTGTGTAAATGTCTTCCTTATGTATCTTTATTTTAAGATGTAAGTTTCTTTACTGTGTGCAGTGGTCTCAAAATCTGTGGCAGTACTGTGCTGTGACAATGTTTATTTTCTTGTTTCTGGTAAATTGTTTTATAGTATAGTATCTTTGTTCCTGTTATTTCTCATGAGATTTTTAACAGTGCATACAGGAATTGCTAGAATGGATGGTCTGACTGATCAGTACTGCTTGAGAGTTGACCAGAACTCTGAAGAAATAGTGTAGTAGGCCTATAATTTGAATAGGTAGGAATTGATATCTCATAAGTGTGTATGGTGGTGGTGGCAGTGGTTGGTAAAGAATGAGAGGGAGAGGTGAGTGAAAAATGAAATGTTTTTAAGCCTAAATGCATTAATATCTTAAAAAATTAATTTCTATGTATTCTTAAACCATTCTTCTTCTCTAGTAGAAAAAGAAGTTTTATGCTTTTCAGTGTCTTTGGTTCTGGTTATTTTACCTTATAGTTTTATACCAGATTATCTTCTGAGAAGGCCAATCAGAAGCTTTAACGTAGTTGAGAGCATTTGTTTTCTTGGTGTTGGGAGGCAGTTTTACCTTTGAGTCATTCATTTCAGATTTACTATTGGAGTAGAATGGTGTTGACATTAGCAAGATTTGGAGAAGATAAAAATTTATATTCCATTTTAATTCTGAATAAGATCCTAAAGAAGATTCCTTGAGAAAGTACGAATGGGATATAGAAAAGGGGGTAAAGACATGCATTCAAGTCTAAGCTTGTGCTGTGTAAAAATTACTTGTTATCCTGTACAGTATGTTGGGCAAAAACAAAGAACAACAATAAAACAACAACAAAAAATTGCTTGGTATCTTTGAACCTCAGTCTTATCATCTTTCAAAATCAGAATAATGTCTGCAATGTCTTCCTTTCCATGGGGAAATTATTTCACTTCTCTGAACTTCAAGTTCCTCAGAAAATTAACTTTAGTTGAGTGCTTGCTATGTAGTAGGGTGTGCCTTATTCATCAGCTTTGCAGGCATTATTTAATTGTTGCACCCATTCTCCAAGGTCCATGTTGTTCCAGCATTTACAAGTAAGGAAACTAGGAAACTGAGGTTTAAGAAGTTAAGTTGCTAAGATCACACAGCTGGTAGTAGGTAATATAGCTTGATTTGAACCTACCTGTATTGTACTTCAACACCAGTGCTCTTAACCACTACCATGTCCCATCTCTATAATGCTAGTTTTGAAAAAGATACTATCCCTTTCAATCTTGACCTACCTGTTAACACAGTGGAAGGTTTTTATTAAGTAACTCAACCTAGGCAATACATTAAGGAGAAAATAAGTCACAATAGGAAAGACATGTATTTGTGTCTTTGATGAAACAATATTTTTATTAAATTGACTATTTTAAAGTGTGTGTTGGGGGATGCTTGTGTGCATTTGTATTAGCTATTCTGTGTATCCTATTCTTAGCCTGTGGTACATGGATTTCTTGGTGGAGAGCAGATATGAACCCCAATTTTGTATCAAGTGATAGTCTATAGGTTTTATCAGATTCTCTGATCAGTTTGAGGGAAAAAAGAAAAACCAAAAAGATTATTAAATAGGACTCTTCAGCCATGTTATAATGTTTGTAGGTATACATTGGGGAAATGTGGTTTTTGGGAATTTGTAATTTTCTGTTAAGCAGTTACTACCATTGTATTCAATATCAACATGCTTTTCTTTTGATATTGAAGTTTAAAAAAATGAGTGATATTATATTTAATTTTTCTTCAGACCTTCTTCAGGAACAATTTTTGATGATGCTTTCTGGCTGGATTTAAATTATCTAGAAGTTGCCAAGGTAGCTCAGTCTTGTGCTGCTCACTTTACAGCTTTACTCTATGCAGAAATCTATGCAGATAAGAAAAGCATGGATGATCAAGAGAAAAGGTAATGGAATTTAGAATTTTTGGTTTTTAAAATTAATGTTGGCATTGTCTCATTAAGGGTATATAGTAAAGATTTACATTGCCTCCTGTTCCCCATTTAAAAGACATTATTTAGATAGAAATTTTGTTTTAAAGTGAAATTATAATAAATTTTTAAAAAGGAATATGTAATTCCTGCTCTGAAACAATAGGAATGTTTATACTTAGGTATTATAAAAATTTAACAGATAGCAAATTCCTGTAGGACAGAGTCCATACTTAATTTTCTGTATATTCCCCATAACAGCCCTAGCATTGAGAACTTAATTTAAGGGTGATAAATATTTTTCAAATGATTAAATTATTTCCTAACTTCAATCAGATTAGATTTACCACTAATTCCTAAACTATTCAAGATTCATTTTGGATATAAAACACCCAAAATTATAATCCAAAATGGCTATAAAGTAATGTGACTGATTTCTTTCTGTGACTAAGTTTCATTTCTTTATCTACCTGTATTTCTAGTGAATTTAATTCGCTTTCCTCTGACTGAGTTAGAACTGTCATAAGAATCTAATAAATATACCCCTAGATCATGGTGAAGAACAAAAACTAATCAAGAAAGTAAGAGTAAAAAATAAAGTAAAACACTTTATTATCCCAACTGCCCTCTTCAAATCTTTGTTCGTTTGAAATGGCCTGGGTCTCATTATTTTGCCCAGGCTGTGGTGCAGAGGTGCGATCATAGCTCACTGTAGCCTTGATCTTCCAGGCTCAAGTGATCCTCCTGCCTCAGCCTCCAAGTAGTTGGGACTATAGGCACACATCACTGCATCCAGCTCATTTATTTTTATTTTTATTTTTCGTAGAAACAAGATCTTGCTATGTTGCTCAGGCTTGTCCCTAGCTCCTGCGCTCAAGCAGTCCTCCCACCTTAGCCTTTCAAAGTGCTGGGATTACAAGAATGAGCCACTGCACCTGGTCCCAAATTGTTTTTTAAAGCGGTTATACCCATTTTTGTACAGAAATGTAGTTGATAAGGAAGTGGATCAGTAGGAAGCCGTATAAGTATATATACTTGAAGAAGGGAGCCTAAGTATAACTATTTCTAGGCTGGGCACAGTGGCTCACGCATGTAATCCCAGCACTTTGGGAAGCCAGAGTGAGAGGATTACTTGCGACCAGGAGATCGAGACCAGCCTGGGCAACATAGTGAGACCTCAGCTCTACTAAAAATAAAAATAAATTAGCTGGACATAGTGGCTTGCACATGTAGTCCCAGCAACTCAGGAGGCTGAGGGAGGAGGATCACTTGAGCCCAGGAGGGAGAGGCTGCAGTGAACCATGATTGTGCCACTGCACTCCAGCCTAAGTGACAGAGCGAGACCTTATCTCCAAAAAAAAAAAAAAAAAGAAGAAACTGGAATAAATATATAGGTAAATATTAGAGGCAGTATCACTTATGATAGTATTTATTTTATGTATTAGATTATTACTATTATAGACACCATAACTGTCATGGTTTTAGAATTGAAGTTACTTACAGAACTGAATGTCATATGTATAAAATGCATAAAGTTAAGGCCTTGAAGTAGACAAATCTGAGTTCTCATCCTGTCACTTTCTAGTTTTATAAGCTTGGTTTAAGTGGATCCTACTGATCTACTTCCTTTTCAATAGTTAATATCAGATGTCTTAATTTATATCTATTAGGTATTACATTCTTATTGTGGTCTTTATTTGTGTGTCTGTAATTATTGATTGAGTTGAATTTCAGGTAAAACCACTGACAGAGTATATAGTACCTGAACTGGAGGGCATCTGCTCTATTTTTAAACAATCCTGTCTCTTTATAAATAATCATATTTTTGCATATGGGCTTTCCATATGTAGAAGATTATTCTTAAAATATAATTTTCATTCACAAATTCCTTTTCCATCGTAGGTATAAATGGTATTAAATTTTAAAGTATAAGTGATTTATTCTGTTTTGTTTCCAACCTTCATTAGTTTTTTTCTGTCAAAGTCTATAGTGTATGTATTCAGGAGCTTCCAAATAGTATGTTCTCATTAAAAGAGGTGTTCTTGTGACAAACAGAAGTCTTGCATTTGAAGAAGGAAGCCAAAGTACAACTATTTCTAGCTTGAGTGAAAAAAGTAAAGAAGAAACTGGAATAAGTTTACAGGTAAATATTAGAGGTTCTATTATTTATGACAATATTTATCTCATACTTTGGGTTGTTATAGACACTGTACAGATGCCGTGTGATTTTTAAACTGAATTTACTTATTGGATTAAGCACCATATATATAAATTTATGGTCTGAAGCTTAAGCCTTGGAGTAGACAGACTTGAATTCTAATACTGACTCTGCCACTAGTTGAGTTCCCTTACCTGAAAGACGAAAGTAAAACCACGTGTCTCAGAGTTTATACCATGCATTTTCTGCAATAGCACCCTGTTCATTTCCTTTATAGCACTTAGGGTTTATAATTATATATTTATTTGCTCGTTTATTGTATGTCACAGAAGAAGCAGATTGCCTCTTCTATGCATTTCTTGATATCCATTCTTAAATTGGCTCATGTTACTGTCTAGGATGCTTACCGAATTTCTTTGGTCAACTCATAATCCTTCACAATGACAATTTCAGCTTCTCCATTCTGCTTAAACTTTTCATCTTCTCTTCTACGCCATTGCTTTCAGCCTGCCTCCTAGTTGGAGAAAATAGAAGGCATAGAGAGGAAATCTTGCCACATCCCACTATCAGACATTGAAATCTCCTGGCATCTGCTCCTTTAATAACCTTCCCTCATGTTACAGAAACAGTTTATCCTTCTATTTGAGACTAACTCTTCCTGTGCTCTGTTTTTTTATCTGCTCTTTCTCAGCTTCTTTATTTTTTAATATGCGGTTCTCCCTCTGAACTGTGTTCTGAACATTTTAAAACCTCTCCTGTTTAAAGATTCCCTTTCTCACAAACACAAAATAATTTCCCTCTTCCCTATGTTCTCTTTTAGGTATCACCCTCTCTCTTCCTTTCTCTCATAGACAAACTTTGTGAAAGAGTTGTCTTTATTTGCTGTCTGCATTCCCCCCACTTCCATTTATTCCAGTAAAATAGCACTTGCTAATGTCTCTCATAAAGTTCATGTTGCTAAGTCTGGTGGTCACCTTCCATTCCTCCTTTTCCTTAATGTTTTATTAATACTTCATCATCAACCATGCCTTGATGAAATATATTCTGTTTACCTTTTTGATCCACTGTCCTGATTTTTCTCCTTTCACTTTTGCCTTCTTCATAGTCTCCTCCTCCTCTACTGAGTTTTGGAATATCGTGTGTGTACTAAGCACTGTGCTAAGCATGGGCTGAACTTTTCTACTCTGAGGACTTGATTTCACGTTATGAATAGAAGCATTTGAGTTGGAACTATAGAATTATGCCAATATAAATGAATTTGTATGTAGAAAATATTTCACAGAGCAAGCACCATGTAGGCAGTTCAATTGCTTGGTCAATTTTCTATGCAGTATAGTTCCTAATTTTTTCTACTTTATGTTTTTTTATGTTTTCATTTTTATTTAACTGAGATTTTGTTTTAAACAAAATCTATCTTTTCTATGTAAATTTTACAACACAGATTTCAGTAACCAAACTACTTTATCCTTATCAAATTTTACCAATTCCAATACAGTTCTGTGCTATTTTTCAAAGAAAAATCCATGACCTTTATTCTTACCAAATTCAGTTTTCAAGAGTCAGACTTTGTAGGACTGTATTTTCTGATGTACAGTTTTTTAGTTTGTTTTGTTTTTTGTTTTTCAGACAGGGTCTGGCTCTGTTGCCCAGGCTGGAGTGCAGTGGTGCAATCATAACACACTGCAGCCTCTGCCTCCCAGGCTCAAGCCATCTTCCCACCTCAGCCTCACAAGTAGCTGGGACTACAGGCATGCCCCACCGTCTCCAGCTAATTTTTGCAGAGACGGGTTTAGCCATGTTGCCCAGGCTGATCTTGAATTCCTGAGCTCAAGCAGTCTGCCTGAGCTACTCAAAGTACTGGGATTAAAGGTGTGAGCCACTGCGCCCAGCCCATGTACAGTTTTAGGTGTTGACAAGATTGTTTGGTTTTGTTTGTGTGATTATTTTTGCATGTGATAAAAGCCCGGTAGGTTGGTACTTATTTCTTATCTAATTCATGCAATTGTAGGCAGTTCTTCTCAGGTAGACTACAGTCCTCCTGTTGTCTAGGACCAGTCTGCTGTGTTGCTGCTGATCCAGATCATTGGTATATACAGTTGACCCTTGAACAATGTGGGTGTTAGAGGTGCTAACCCCTGTGCTATTAAAAATCAGGGTAAAACTAAATTTGTAGTCAGAAGTTAACTACTAATAGTCTACTGTTGAGCAGAAGCCCTATCGATGATATAAACAACACATATTTTGTATATGTGTTATATACTGTATTCTTAAGTAAAGTAGCTTGAGAAAAGAAAATGTTACTGAGAAAATCATAAGGAAGAGAAAATGCATTTATAGAACTGTATCGTATTTATCAATACCATAAGTTTACATCATCTCTTTACAGTTAATCATCTGTCTGAAATTTTAGGCAACCACCGCTGGTTGATATGTACTTTAGGCCTCAATCTACAGTACATATCAAACAATTCACTTTTTTCCTGTAATGGCATGACTTTTCTCTGCATCTTGGGAGCACCTCCAGCCACCCGTGGTGTTAATCAAGGCTTATAGTATTGCAGTAAACATAGTGAAAAAATATATGAGAACCTGGAGAGATTACTTTTTATTGCTATATACAATTTGCTAGAGAAATGAACTGCTCATGCAGAAATTATTAACATCACACAGTATTTTAAGTGGATACTCACAACACAATAATGCTTACCACAATAGCAACTGAGGTAGCTGCAAAATTATTACAATAGTACAATATGTACTATAGTTAATCTTATGCAATTATGATTTAATACTGCATCTTTACATTTGTTTACATTTGTCTTAACTGCAAATAATGCTGTGTACAGTGTATGTGTGTAAGTTTTGATAAATTTTAACTTTTTGTAATAGATTCGTATATATTTTATGGTAGTAAATGATAAAATGTATCATTTCAAATGCATACAAATGATAGACTGTATAGACTAGTATATACATTTATTTTATGCATTCATGACAAAACTTACTTTTAAAAAATTTTTCAATAGTTCTAAACTGTGTGGTTTTTGAGTTTTTTCAAATTGTTGCAAACCTCCAAAAAGTTTTCATTATATTTATTGAAAAAAAAATCCACATATAAGTTGTCCTGCACAGTTCAAACTTGTGTTGTTTAAGGATCAACTGTATTTCAGAATCATTACATTTTATTTATATAACATAACATTTAGAGTTGGGAGTTACATATTGGTAATGATACAATTTAAAACTTGCTAAATTTATAGACTGATTTTTTTTCCTTCTTCAATTTTTTGTTGCTTCCATGTTTTCAGGATCTTCTCTTAGAAATCTACAGAAGTATAGGAGAGCCAGATAGTTTGTATGGCTGTGGTGGAGGGAAGATGTTACAACCCATTACTAGGTAAATTGCATTTTTCTGAACAGTGGTATAGTAATTCTGTTTATGAAGGAGTTACGTGTGTGTAAAACCCAAAGCTATTTTTACAATGTTTTCTTACAGACTACGAACATATGAACACGAAGCAATGTGGGGCAAAGCCCTAGTAACATATGACCTTGAAACAGCAATCTCCTCATCAACCCGCCAGGCAGGAATCATTCAGGTACATTTTTTCCCAAATTTGGTAAAGTCATCACTAGTGTAGTGCTGAGGTTATTTCACTATGTTGGTGGAAATTTACACAGCCAGATAAACTCTAGAGATAAGACTAGAAGTTATCTGTTTCTCAGAGGATTAGGCTAAACATTCAGGGATACTCCTGAAGCAGAGGGATGCAGGAAAAAAAAAGAGAAAAAATTCAAGGAGACACAGGAAAGTCAGACAGGTCATTGACCTAAAATATAATGTAGATTTCCTGATCACAGTGTTGTTGGATAACAATAGAAGACATTGGTTGAGCATATATAGTATGCCAGGTAATGTACTTACTGCTTCACATGGAAAATCTCATGTGAACTATTTCTCATAGTTTGCAACAGAGTTGGTCCCAGAACCTATTGTTTCTATTACTGGCTAATACTCCTTAGCCATTCTTCCATGAAATATTAGAGCCCTTTGAGCTCCATCTTTGTGTTTTTTGGGAAACATTAAACGATATTTTGGGATTAAAAAAAATTTTTTGGCCAGGTGCGGTGGCTCACGCCTGTAATCCCAGCACTTTGGGAGGCTGAGGCGGGCGGATCATGAGGTCAGGAGATCGAGACCATCCTGGCTAACACGGTGAAACCCTGTCTCTACTAAAAATACAAAAAAAAAAAAAACTAGCCGGGCATGGTGGTGGGCACCTGTAGTCCCAGCTACCTGGGAGGCTGAGGTAGGAGAATGGCGTGAACCCGGGAGGCGGAGCTTGCAGTGAGCCGAGATTATGCCACTGCACTCCAGCCTGGGCGACAGAGTGAGACTCCATCTCAAAAAAAAAAATTTTTTTTTTAGAGATAAATTGTCACCCTGTTACTGAGGCTGGAGTGCATTAGCACGATCATAGCTCACTGCAGTCTTGACCTCCTGGGCTCAAGGTCACCTCTCGCTTCAGCTACCCAAGTAGCTGGGGCTATAGGTACACACTACCATACCCAGCTAATTTAAAAAAAAAAAAAATTGTAGAGACAGGGTCTTGCTTTGTTGCCCAGGCTGGTCTCAAACTCCTGGGCTCGAGTGATCCTCCTGCCTCAGCCTCCCAAAGTGCTGAGATTACAGGCATAAGCCACCATACCCAGCTGATATTTTGGGATTTTAAGCGATATTGTGAACTAAAATTTATTTGTATGTTTGCTTTTTTTTCCTCTGGTTTTCTATTGATATCTTTGATTACTTAAAAACAAAAATAACTCCTGTTTAGGCCTTGCAGAATTTGGGACTCTGCCATATTCTTTCTGTGTATTTGAAAGGATTAGATTATGAAAATAAAGACTGGTGTCCTGAACTACAGGAACTTCATTACCAAGCAGCATGGAGGAATATGCAGTGGGACCATTGCACTTATGTCAGGTAAGAAGAAATTTGACTTGATTTTTTTCTTTTTTTTTGCCTCTCTCCTAGTTCTAAACAACAACTGTTTTACTCTTGTTCTATGAATATAACAGGAGTTTATATATATACACACACACACACACACACACGTATAGTAGATATTGCAAGCTATAGATAGTCCTAAATCCTTCAGTAAGATAGCAATAAGCAGTTAATGCACCTAGGCTTGAATTTTACTCTCTTCTTCCATTAGGACAACTTCACCCCACCCCTAAGTATTTCTAAAAACAGAACTATGAAAAGGGTTTTCTTATGAGAATCATCTCACATACTGTTTGTTGGACTGAGGCGTGTCAAGCAAAGTATAGGCATTCCTCTTTCTACTCCTTGCTACAAACATTTTAGTCAGTAAGATGACACTTACATTGACTGGAGGATCCACAAAGGACTGCTTATCTTTATTTATGAAATATTTTCTTTTATTAGAAAATAATACGTCTGGGCATGGTGACTCACGCCTATAATCCTAGCACTTTGGGAGGCCGAGGCGGGTGGATTGCCTGAGCTCAGGAGTTTGAGACCAGCCTGGGCAATGTCTCTACTAAAGTACAAAAAAGTAGCCAGGTGTAGTGGCGTGCGCCTGTAGTCCCAGCTGCTTGGAAGCCTGAGGCAGGAGAATTGCTAGAACACGGGAGGCAGAGGTTGCAGTGAGCTGACATAGCGCCACTGCACTCCAGTCCAGACGACAGAGCAAGACTCCATCTCTTAAAAAATAAATAAATAAATAAATAAATAAATAAAATAATACCTACTCAGGGCTGGGCACAGTGTGGTGGCTCACACCTGGAATCCCAGCACTTTGAGAGCTGGGGCAGATGGATCACTTGAGATCAGGAGTTTGAGACCAACCTGGCCAACAGGGTGAAACTCCATCTCTACTAAAAATGCGAAAATTAGCCGGGTATGGTGCTGCGCGCCTATAATCCAAGCTACTCGGGAGACTGATGCAGGAGAGGGCTTGAACTTGGGAAGCAGATGTTGCAGTGAGCCAAGATCGACAGAGTCTCACTCTGTCGCCCAGGCTGGAGCCAAGATCCAGCCTCGGGCGACAGAGTGAGACTCTGTCTCAAAAAAAAAAAAAACCACTCAGTTACCCAGGAAGATAACATTTATAATCTGTATATAAGGTCACCATGTTTTCTGAATGAAAAGCCAAGCACCTAATCTAATAAAGGATTTCATATTTATGTAAAGTTTTTTGATAATATAAACACTAAAAAATAAATTATGTTTAAGTATGTTTTGTTGCCTTCGTAGAAAAAAAAAAATTGTTGGCCGAGTGTGGTGGCTCATGCCTGTAATCCTAGCACTTTGGGAGGCCGAGGAGGGCAGATCACTTGAAGTTAGGAATTCAGGACAAGCTTGGGCAACATGGTGAAACCCCATCTCTACAAAAAATACAAAAGTTAGCTGGGCGCGGTGGCATGCATTTGTAGTCCCAGCTGCTTGGGAGGCTGAGGTGAGGGGATCCCTTGAGCCCAGGAGGCTGAGGTTGCAGTAAGCCGAGATCACGTCACTGCACTCCATCCTGGGCAACAGAGTGAGACTCTCTCAAAACATAATAATTATTGGAGTGCCTTTCAAATATTTCAAACTGTAAGACTGCTATAACGTTAGAGATATACCCTCATATTTTAAAAACTTTCCTGTGTGAGTTGATTCTTGCTTGCCTCTGTAAATCAATATATACTATTCTTCCCCTTCCCCTTGTATTTCAGCCACACAGGCCTCTCTTGTGTTTTCCTATCAGGCCAAGCTGTTTCTATCCAAGGGCCTTAGATGTATCTTCTTCTTTTCCCCTGGTTACCATGCCGGTGGCTTCTTTTCATTCTGACCCTAGTTAAATAATATTGTATCTCTGTCAGAGAGACTTTTCTTGACTACCTATTCTGTAATAGCCATCTGGCCATTTTGTTTTAATTCTCTGCATGTCCCTTGTTACTCTCCAATACTTATTTATTGTGTATTCCTCCAAACCAGCACATAAATTCCGTGAGAGTAGAGACCTGATCTGACTTGTCAACTTGTAAATCCCCCTTGTGCCTAGTGCCTGGCACATAATAGGTGTTTATTGAATAAATACAAGTAGAGCATATTTAGAACCAGGCAAAGTATCTGAGTAATTTCCTTTTTTTCTGCTTAAAGAATTTAAATGACTCATAAAATTTGTATTTCTTACCAAAAATTCTAGAAATGCATTTTTTAGAATGGAGAAATTTTAATTTAAAAATTTTATCCTTTGGTGAAGCTATTTGTTTATGTATATCTTAGGGTTCTGTTTTTAAATATATTTTTTTCTTTGACTTATTATCTCACAGCAAAGAAATAGAAGGAACCAGTTACCATGAATCATTGTACAATGCTCTACAATCTCTAAGAGACAGAGAATTCTCTACATTTTATGAAAGTCTCAAATATGCAAGGTATTATGAAAAGACAAAGTTACTGTATTTTAACATTTAATGTCATGGCTTCTTTTCTGAAAACTTGAAAAACAATTTTAATGTAAGGATTTGCATTGATGAAGAGATAAAGACTTGGTGGCTGTGATCAGATGTTTCCATGTAATTCTCTACACTCCTTCAAAACAAATTGTTTCTGGGATTCCAGGTTCATTCTTTACCCTGACCCTTCAAGAAAGTTTTGGTGATTCTCTCTTCTTTGTTCTCTTCCAGTAAAGTATCCTGAGAGTTTCGTCTTGTCTCATTTAGTAATTGTATGGCATTTAGTGTTCTAATTCATAAAATTGTAACTCATGGTTAATACTTACAAACTTGTTTTGAGGCACAAATGTGATGAGGCATAAGGAAATAATTATAATGGGCTAAACAAATGTAGCGTTTTTATAACAGTAGTGACTTAATAAATCCTATGTTTATCACAGAAATAAAATTTACTATCATTTAAGTGCCTATGATATGCTAGCCACCGTTAGACTCCTTTCATATGTATTCTCTAATCATGACAATAACTATGGATGCGAAAAAAGGCTTAAGAAGTCCAGTAACATGCCCAAAGTTACACAGTTATAAGTGACAGAACTGCAATTTAGATCTTGGTCTGTGTGATTCCAAGGTTTACAGTTGATCCTTGAACCACTTGGAGGTTAGGAGTGCTGAGCCCCTCCTCCTCACACATTTGAAAATATGAGTACTACTTTGACTCCTCAAAAGCTTAACTACTAATAGCTTACTGTTAACCAGAAGCCTTACCAATAACTTAAACAAAAGATTAACACATAGTTTGTATAAAGGATTATAATACCATATTCTTACAATAAAGTAAGCTAGAGAAAAGAAAATGTTATTGAAAATTATAAGGAAGAGAACATATATTTACTATTGATTAAGTGGAAGTGGGTTATCATAAAGGTCTTCATCCTTGCCACCTTCATGTTAAATAGGATAAGGAGGAAGGGTTGGTCTTGCTATCTCAGGGGTGGCAAAGATGGAAGAAACTGAGTATAAGTGGACCACGCATTTAACTTTGTGTTGTTCAAGGATCAGTTGTATTTTGTTTCCGCTGCTATTTCGTATTCACTGTTGCTTGTTAGTATTGCTAGATCAGTAGCAAAGCCTATGATGAGAACTCTCTAACAACAAATTTGAACTTTTATTTCCCTGAAAACCTTTTCTTTGTTTTCAGAGTGTCTTTTCTTTTTTGCAACTAGAGTAAAAGAAGTGGAAGAGTTGTGTAAGCGCAGCCTTGAGTCTGTGTATTCGCTCTACCCCACACTCAGCAGGTTGCAGGCCATTGGAGAGCTGGAAAGCATTGGGGAGCTTTTCTCAAAGTATGTAATTCATATGACTTTGTTATCCTAAAGTGCAGCTTTTCTGTTACCAGTAGTGACTTTAAAAAAAACTATAGGCCGGGCACAGTGGCTCATGCCTGTAATCCTAGCACTTCATAGGAGGCTGAGGTGGGTGGATCACTTGAGGTCAGGAGTTCAAGACCAGCCTGGTCAACATGGTGAAACCCTATCTCTACTAAAAATACAAAAATTAGCTGGGTATGGTGGTAGGCGCCTGTAATCTCAGCTGTTCAGGAGACTGAAGCGGGAGAATTGCTTGAACCCAGCACAGCAGGCAGAGGTTGTGGTGAGCCGAGATTGTGCTATGGATTCCAGCCTGGGCAACAGAGCGAGACTCTGTCTCAAAAAACAAACAAACAAACAAAAAACTATGTAGAGACCAGATGTGTGTGTTTCTTTCCTTTTATCAAGATGTAAGTTGATTAGCCCTAGTGAATTGTGCTTTTATTAAACATTTTCCAAAATAGTCATTGTAAAAATTAAACTTTTAAAAATTCAGCTTGAATGTGCTTTTCTTTTATAACTTCTTCCCTGGCCTACCCAGATAAAATTGTTTCCTCATGTTTTTGCACAGCATGTTACACTCCATTCAGTTTTAGCACTACATTGCATTACTGTCATTTTATCTCTGCCTTGCTGCTAGAGTGAAAGAAGTGGAAGAGTTATGTAAGGGCAGCCTTGAGTCTGTCAGGATGACAAAGTAAAGTGTTTTGTGTCCTCAGTTTCCTCATTTCTAAAGTCAGGGATTTATATTTGATGGTCTCTAAAGCTCCTTTTAGCCGTGCTATTTTGAGTCACTATTATTATTATGAGAGGAAAGAAAGAGGATATAAATGACTGAGGTCACCCTACCTTTATGCAAAAATAAAATTTGGAATATGTTTTGGAAGTAGAAAAGAGAAGGAAATTTTAGAGTCAGAAGAAAAGAATAATAGCTTTTTCAAAATGACATAGCAGAAGACATACATATTAATGTGGCTTTTCTTAGGAAGAAAATAAAGGAACAAAACTCTTTTCTGCTTTCATTAGTAAGTACCTTGGCAGTTCTTACTGCCAGAAATCAAGAAATTTTTCCTCTGAATGAAAGATTTCTCCTGCTAAAAAGAGTATAGAATTCTTTAAGAAACAGTGAATAGAATGATAGTAACCAGAGGCAGGGAAGGGTGTTGTGGAGGGAGAGGATGAAGAGTGGCTGGTTAATGGGTAAAAAAATACAAGTAAATAGAAGGAATAAGATCTAGTGTTTGATAGCACAATAGGGCAACTGTAGTTAACAGTAATTTACTGTATATTTTTAAATAGCTACAAAAGAAGGTTTGGAATGTTTCCAAAATAAAGAAATGATAAATGTTTGAGATCATGGACATCCCAATTACCCAAGTTTGATCATTACACATTGTATGCTTGTATCAAAGTATCACACGTACCTAATAAATATGTACAACTATTATATATCCATAAAAATTAAAAATAAATTTTAAAAAGAAGAAATGCCTAAAGAATAATCTGGCTCTTTCTTTGGTAGAGAAACAGGAAGAAGAGAAGCAGAGGGAAAGTTGGATGAACTGGTGAACAAATGCTTATGCTCTCAGATTAGATTTCATTCGTGTACTTCAACCAAAACATCAAATCATAACTAAATGCAGAAGCAGAGATGAGAATTCATCTCGTTCTGTTAATCCAGACATTAAAGAGATTTGCAAAAATGCAAAACAGTGCCATTCTCACTAAGTTTTGTTTTGTTTTGTTTTGGGAAGTATACAGTTGCAATTCTTTATCTACAGGTTTCGATGTACAGATTAAACCAAATATGATAAAAAAATTTGAAAAAAATGTTAAAGAATAGGATATAACACTTATTTACATAGTATTTACATTATAGTAGGTATTATATGTAATTAGAGATTTGTGTATAACCTATGCACATTCTCCTATTACACGTAATCTAGAGGTTACGTGTAATAGGAAAATACCCTGCCGTTTTAAGTAAGGGACTTTGAACATCAGCATTATCAAGGTGTCTTGGAGCCAATTTTCTGCAGATACAGAGAAACTACTGCAGTTCTTTTTCCTAAAAATTGTTATTTATGATATATAGTAGATTTATTATTTTTGAATAAATTAATACATTTTAGATTTTTCTCAGTCTTTCTAATGTGATATCATATCTAATATCAGTAGATATGGTCCAACAATTGAAAGTTCTTTGGGGTCTTCGATAATCTGTTTGATTGTAAAGGAGTTCCTCAAAAAGTTTGAGACCTGCTGTGGTAGGGTCATTTAGAGAGGAATTGAAGTTTTGGTTCCTAGCACTTTTCTTACTGTTCCTTCCCTATCAAGTAACTTAAAAGAGCTTTCATTTCTAAGTCATCACTTTGTCATCTTACTCTCCCTGCTTCCTCTTTCTTATTTCTTTCAATAAATGTCCCTGAAGGATTGGGTAGTATTTCATAGTTCAGTTACTTGGGAAGCATACTATTCATATAAACTAATTGTACAATATGCCTTTTCTGTTCCTTTAATAATGTTGGTAAATGAAACCTTTGCCAGATGCTAGCTTTTCCTTCACTGGATTGTGATTTTTTTTTGACATCTATAATTATGCATCAAGTTGTCCCCAGTAGGGGATCCCTCATTTCCTTGCTGACATGTCCTCATT